CTATCTCACCACTGACTCTGATCAGTGTTTCTCCTCTGTATAGCTTATTGTCATAGTGATGAGAAATGTAATATTGTGTCTACTCTGTAAGTCGCTTTGGATAAAAGCGTCTGCCAAATGCATAAACATAAACATAACGTTGCCGTGTGCCGGCTGCAGATCGCGGTGCTGCGGGGGGAGAACGCGGTGGCCAAGACGCTGCAGGCGGCCGTGGACACGCTGGAGAAGGACAAGGCGCAGCTGCAGAGCCGCGTCAGCAGCCTGGAGCAAAGGCTGCTGGGAGCTCAGCCCCCGGAGGGGGGGGGGCAGGAGGCCCCGCCCTCAGGTGACGCCGCCCTGGAGCAGCTGAGGGAGGAGAAGGAGTTCGCCGAGGGACAGGTGGGACCCCCCCCCCAGTGTTATTGCTGTCATAACTTCTACCATTATCTTTGCTATTAACTCATTGGCTGCCAAAGACGTCTATAGACGTCTTTTATGTTTTTCAACGAGAGTGGATGGGGGACGATCTGCTAAAGCTTGTCCGTAAATATCGGCTTCTAGACAGAGTATGTAGTAACAAATTGACCCTCTAGGGGGCAGTGCCACTTTTGATGGGAGATGAGCATAGACTGTAGGCAAATAAGAAAAAGGTAACGGTTCGCTCTGAGAGAACATGTCGCCGTTGAGACGCATGTCGAGGAAGAACGGAATAAGGTAGAAACAATTTTTTTTTCCTGATGAAAGAAGAGAGTCTACTGTTTCTTTTGGTGTGTTCGGTGTTTACATAGTCATAGCACAAACTATTCTGTGGCTCTTGAAAAATCAGTCAAAATGCTCAAAAAACGCCGCCCACCCTGAGCCATGGTTCTGCTCGAGGTTTCTGCCCGTTAAAAGGACGTTTTTCCTTGCCTGTGTCGCCTAGTGCTTGCTCATGGTGGGAAATGATGGGTTTCTGTAATCCACTTCAGAGTAGGGTCTGACCTGCTCTGTTTGGAAAGCGCTGTGAGATGAATGTTGTTGTGATGAGGCGCTATATAAATTGAATTGAATTTAATTGACTAACCTCGGCTGTGTCTGACCCCCTCAGATCAACTTCCTGAACAGTGTGATCGTGGACCTGCAGCGCAAAAACGAGGAGCTGAAGATCAAGCTGAAGAAGCTGGCGCTCGCCGAGTTCAACGGCAACGACGGGACGGACGGGTAACGACCCCCCAACCCCCCCGCC